AAAATTATTATAAATAAATAAGACATTTTATTAGAACTTTTTCTGATAGCATCACCAGTGCATGAGAAGTACGCGTATATACGAATGCTATACTTTGGTCTTTGAAAACCATGAACTCTGAAGTCTGTCTGGCTGAATTGCATATACTTGTAAGCAAACATGCAATAAAAATATCAGTCCAAGTGATTAAAAATTGTTATAATTTGTCTACAAAATCTTCATATCCGTTGTAGGCCTAACTTTGAATTTAAATTCTATTATTTCATTCATATATAACATAAAATTTTGACAATTACAAAGAGCCATTTTATACTTCATCGTGATGCAATCCTGACAAGAGCACTTGTATGTATTTATCCTCAAGAGCACTTGTATGTTTTTTAATGGTAAAAACAATATCACCCGATTATTTGTTGCTAAGATACATACATATGCTATGCAATAGCCTACAGACATTATTTGAACACGCTAACCTCGACAACTATATATCAACTGGTTCCATGGGCGTGTACATGAATTACAATTTTAATTATTAAAGGAGCTAAGCTTATGGATGCAGTGGTTTTTTGCTCATAAGGAAGATTGTTCCAAAGTAAAGCACCATTGTAGCTGAAGCATGCACCTTTGCCAGATTCTTTTTTCGGCATAGGAAATGCTAATTGTGTGTGTGAAGAGCAAACGAATTACATAAATATCTATATTGGGGATTTAGAAAAACAAGAAATAAGTTAATTTGCTATATTAGGATAGCAATGGAATTGCAACGACATGCAGCGAGAGGCTGGTCCATTTACCGTTCGGAGTACTCGGGATTTTCGGAACACTAATTGATTCGAACCGAAAAGATCACATGAGTGTTCTGATTGCCCCTACTCAAAAGTAGGGGCAGCCAGAACAGTATGTGACTATTATTGTCAGAACAGTCATGTGACTATTATTGGTTCGATTTACTTTGTGTTCCGAAAATCCGGAGTACTTCGAACAGTAAATGGAGCAGCCCCCGAACATTTGAGTGCCAAAATCGAAAGCATCGCGTCCAGACACGACTTAATTTTTTTTATCTATATGATAATACTGTGTATATATAGCTATAGTTAATATGTGTAAATTACGATTGGAAGCTGATAATAAACAATTTTTGGATTCGGTTTTCGCATGACATCAAGAATTATTCAGACCGAGGTCAATGTTTTCGCTTCGGCGGATAACATTGACCGAGGTCTGAATAATGCTTGATGTCATGCGAAAGCCGAATCCAATAATTGTTTTATTACTATTTAAAGACGGGGCTTGGGCACGACAGCGTCCAATAATTTATTTTTTTTTATGCAAGTTCGATCCAAAAAAATTATTGGACGCTGAGCACGTCAGCAGCTGAAATTACGTATATGTACCGAATATTGAGAATTATCCGGTACTCTCTGCATGACCAATCAGGAACGAGAATACATACTAAATGTATAATAATATATATTATCAAGTGATTTCAATTCACTCTATATATTAATAATTTCAATTTTTTGAAACTTTGCCATCTTTTATTCCATTTATATTTGTTATTTATGTTGACTGACTATTTAATATATCTTATTGGATTCTTCTGAGCCCAATATGGCAAAATATTAAGTCTCGACTTCAATATTGGGCGAGACCGAAGGTCGAGCCTAATATTGAAGTCGAGACTTAATATTTTGCCATATTGGGGGAAGATGAATCCAATAGGAGTTTTATTATATCGAACAAAACAATTCTATAACAAAAATTGTCAATAAGCGATAAAGTAAATGCAGCGAGACTAATAAAGCGACAACATTACTACATATATCGGCGGCGAATTTCCTTAAACAACTAAACAAAAGTTAATAAACCTGTTTTTAAAAATATGTGTGCATAAATAAACTCAATTCCATGTATGTTTAAAGGAAATTTGAGCTAAATTTTTACGAAAAAAATAATATTACTGGTTACTAACTTCTAGGCTGTTGCAAACAAATAAATTTCGCGAAGACAAGTTTTCCCGCGCATTTATAATTTTAAACAAAACTGGTAGAAAAAACTGTATTAATGTCCCAAATTAAATATTGGATCGGCACGTGACCCTCTCAACGATTACTGATTGGTTAAGTGCGTGTGAGTGTATAATAAGTTGAATTATAAGTTCTTGCCTTATGGTAAAGGAATCTAGAAACTCGTATATACAGGCTATACATCGAAGCTGTTATGAAATTTTTTTAAATACTATCAATTCCATCTCGAGTAGGCCTACTTTTGAAGTTTATCCTTGAGATTTGACGTTCAATATCGTTAACTATTAGTACTATTGAATCTTCTCAAAGTTTGTTGTAGCTACATATAAACTGTAAAGACTAGGGTACGTTAGAAGACAAAGGAACTTTTTAAGGAAAACCTGATAAAATTTAAAGTCTTGGTGGCCCAAACGAAAAATTAAATAAATAAGACTTTTAAGGAACACTTGCGAAGCAATTGTTTGTTTGCATGTTCTTTTGAGTGCAAATTTACAAAAAATTGCACAAGGATTTTTTAAAATCTTTTTGATAATATCACCAGTGAAAAGAATGCATGCGTACGAATGCTATACTTTGGTCTTTGAAAAACACTCTGAATTAGGTCTGTCTTGTTGAATTGCATATACTTGGCTTATGTAAGCAAAGATATTATTCCTGAAATTTTCATAATTTGTCTACATGCAAAATCTTAAATCTGTTGTAACTTTGAATTCAAATTTTATTATTTCGTGTATATATAGCCTAGTATATAACATAACATTATTTTTGACAATTACAAAGAGCCGTTTTATAGCTATATATACGTACTTCACCGTGTGCATGCAATCCTGACAAATGCGCATGATTCGATCATCTGTGAAAACGTCTTTCTCGTTTGGACATTTTCACATAATTATATGACATATTGGTTTATCATGAAATGGTAAAAAGAATTCCAATGTTTGAATTTATGTTTGAAAGAATGTGACTGACCGCGAAGTACTGTTTAATACACGAGCAGGAGTGTAAAACACGACCTGCGATTTTATTAAACGGCTTCAAACACGACTACAAATTCAATAGATATACTGCCTTATTAGTATTCTTTATATAAAGAATACTAACGAGGACACGACTACAATAGATACTGCCTTATTAGTATTCTTTATGTAAAGAATACTAATTAGGAGTGTTTTATCAGGTTTAATTAAAGCCACTGCACGTGACGAGCTTATGAATTATTAATGAGTGTTTGAACCCTTGTTTAGAGACTTTAACGACGGTTTATGTTCAGGGTTGCTTTGGAGTTAGGCTTCAGTCAATGTTATTACTTCTCTTTAATTCGTTTGCTTGTTGAGTGCGTGTCTGTAAAGGACATAAAATTTTATCCAATTTATCATAGGCCTATAGATTTTTACATATAGATTTAGGCGCAGGCCAACATAAAGTTAAACTTATTATACCTAACCTACGGTATTATATATGTAGAATGGCTTATTTTCATTATTATGACGTTGTAACAAAACGTTGTCTTAAAAAATGTTTCTATATATATCATATTGCATATACACATGCGTGAAGGGTGTAGCTTGTGAGAGGTTCTTGTAACTCATAACCATAACAAGTTTTTACCACTTTCTATTGAAAGAATCATGAGTATAGAAAGAAGGCCATCAAAATAATTTCCCAGTTTCTAATGTACTTCATCAACAAAGCCAACAATTTCGTTTCCAGGGTATTTCTATAATCTTCTTAGGTCACTCAAGTTTACCAATCCTCCATGCATAAGTTTTCAAACAAATTTAAAAGTTCATAATGCTACAGTTTTCAACATAAGCCGCAAAATCTTTGGTGCTTCCAACTGACCCATGTTCTTAATTTCTGATATTTATAGCAAAAAACGTGAAAGAAGTCTATTAGGTGATGACAATAATAATTCTTCAAAATTGGTTATATATATCCTGAAGTGCGGAATTAAATTATGTTATATAGCTGTCTTTCTAATATAGATAATTTTGTCAATTAAATTCATCCCTTACATGTCAATACAACCTTGGGTCCAACCCTCTATTATAAAAGTTTCAAGCAAAATGGCCCTATCATCTACCTCGTTATTTGAATTTAGAAACCAGATTCACCAATCTTATGCATGCATTTATTGATTAGAATATACTAGATTATCAGATACTATATGTAAATATTTTATATATTCGTAAATATAGGTATTATTGTCGAGCACTTCTATCATGAGCCCCTGGCTCGAGTGATTGGGCAACCACACTCTGTGTCATTCGACATTAAATACACTATTCTATTCTATTCTATTATGATGAAAATATGGTCGCATGTAAAGGCCTATATTAGGCGTGCACGTGTGGGTGTGTGCAGCCTCCAATCATATTTATCATGCATATTTTAGTCGGGAAAATTGTACTTAACAATCGAGCAGATTCTACTTAAAAATCGGACAACTCTTTTTAAAAATCGTGCGAAAAAAGGAGAAATATCTAATGTTGTCAAAATTATTGTCTTAATACTAATGTCTCCCTATAACTGATGTGTACCTATGCCTATCATAATACTTGTTAATAATTTACGGTGTGTAACAATAATATTATAGAGAAAATAAATAAAGCACTTTTTTAAGTATAGTAAATTAACAATGATTTAATATTTAGTGTTTGGGTTGCTATAAAAAGTACTGCCCACTTAAGGTTATGTATTATTGCAGTTTCCTCTTTGGATATACAAGTGCTCGAAAAGGAAACTGTAATGAATGCATGTACTTAAGTGATATTGATTGATTTTCAATGATGAATGACTCACTTAATATTGATAAAGAAATAATGCAACGTATCAAATTACTATAGTACTTGATATTATAATGGAACATATTGCAGAGTAATGGCTAAATCGATTAGCATAAAACCACCGCGAGTATAAAAGTAGCAAAATCCAAAGCTTACTCATCATTCAAAAGTTAAAAGGAGCACATACAAGTCTGAGGCAAATACAAAAATCAAAGAAAGATTTAAATAATATGAAGACAACGTATTTCTTATTTGTTCTTGGTCTGCTGTGTGCAGTGGCTTATTCACTTCCAATCGAAGAAGATGAACCTTTGGAAGATGAATTATTAGAAGGTAATAGATTTGAAGAAACAATTTCCAACATCAACTGATGGTTTCTTACATTGCTGAAGTCAACTGAAAAAGTTGACTCGAAATTTTGAACAATTGAGAAAAATATTTCTTTCGAAATGATTAACGATTATCTATTCCATGAATGCTATGGTGTGTCTTCTCAGTTGACCAAAGCCAGTTAGGCACGTTTCGTATTTGACACACTCACAGGAGCAAATGGTATTTTTAAAATTAAACTGAAAAATCTAGTTTGCTCAGATGTCTTAAGACACAGGAATTAGGTCAAGAATAGACCAAAAAATTATTAACTACTTTTGACTAACATTCAATTTACATCTATTCAAAAGAACGAATTATAACTTTCCAATTATAGCCAATAGTTTGCTGCAACAACAATCTGGCAAGATTAAACACAAAACAAGTATAAAACATTATACCAAACATTGATATTATAATTCTGGCCGAAGACAGGGAAAACATTCAGTGAAATGTAGAAATAATATCTTGGTAATTTTGAGATAATAGTAATAATAATTTTGAGATGACAAGGAATGTAGTGTAATTAAATTGATTTTGTGTTGATTTAGGAAATGATGAAAATGATTTGACAGAAGAGGAGGAGGATGAAGATGATGAGGAGGAGGAAGATGATGAAGAAAACGACGATGAGTAAGTTGTGTAGTAAATCATTGATTGCACCATCATAAAACAATGGATCATAAAAAAACTGCATGGATAGGAAACTTATGATCACACTTGGTGTTTTCAACTTGCTGTTGGCGACTCGATCTTAATGTTGAAAATTATGACACAACTAAATCCAAAATATTTCCACGTTTAGCAGTAATACAGCTGTGCATTTTCGTCAAAAATGCATCCAACTATAAAAAATAATAGAATATCTAAAAATTGTTGGTCATTTTCGTGGAATATTTCAAGCATTATGGACGCTGAAATATGCGTCACCAATTTCATTTAGCATCAATTGCAGTTTTTGTGACTCCAATTTCATGATTACGAAAGTAAATCAAAGACAAAGAACATTTACCTTGAATACTTTGCCTTGGCACAGACATGTTTGAAAGACAAGGGAACAATTTTGAATCTCAGTATAGCTATTTAGGCAAACAACGAAAACTAAAGGAAAATGGAAGAAAAACATTGGCGAATTTCAAATACTGTCAGCTGTTTCCTGTCCTTTTTTAACTAGCCATGCATGCTAAAATTATTTGTTTCATGTATGTTTGAGGAGGGCGCATACCAAACAGAAAAAGTGCAGTGGTTAATATTATAGAGGAAACTTATACGCATGATATAGCTACAAGTTATACTTCATGAATGCTGACCATTTTCAAATATGTAAGACTCACTTGGTTGCATGGGTTAAATTTCAAAGCAAACAACCAATTATTGCATTTTGCCGTCAAGTCTCGCAAGCACCTTTCACCTCAGATCGTGGGTTCGATTGTCGCTGGAGCATCATGACACTTTTGGGAAAAGAGTCAGTCAAACCCATGACGTTTACCGAAAGTGCGGGTTTATACTTTATCATGGCACTCCACACTTGGTTCACCCCCTAACTGAACCTTTCATCGCCGTGATTAGGTTTGTTATTTCTATAGCGCAAATTTACATGTGGGTGCCAGAGACGGTCCTATAGAAAAGCTTTGATTCGATCAGGTTTATCTGCGGTGTCCCTCGCAATTTGGCTTAGCTTTCAGCTGCAAGTATACAAGGATGATCAGAACCCTTTGCTCGCTTTCTAGCCTGCGTAGCGGCTCTCAGAGAAAGTAGAGCCTGCACGAAAACCCATGCTTTGCCGTATTCACTCGTTCTCTCAGAGGACGAGAAATCTGATTGGTTCAAAATGAAAAAATATGCTAATTTATGCAAAATTCATACAAACATGGCGGATTAGCGGATGTATTATTGAAAGGCGTTTCTTTGAGTTTTGCATTCAAAAGAGCTTAATATTAAAGGCCACGAAGCTCTAGAGATATTGACTGTGGTGTCTTCGTTGGATTGCTGTCTGTTAGCAGCGCCTCTTTCACAACTCACGAGCGTGTTCGTTTTCATAAATTCATCGACGACAAATAGATTTTTTCTTCATGACTTTGTACCTAATAATTTTGTGCCAGGAGAGAATTGCTATAAATGCTTATGTCTTATGAACGGGGCTTGCTCTCTGTGAAGTGATGGCTTTAATTTTACCGGCCCTTTAAACACCTTTAATATTCTCTTCTCAGCATCGCTAGAAACTTTAACATTTAATACATTACGGTTGACCGCTGTCGAAACTATAAATTCTATTTGTACATGTGCGAGAGAGCTACGAAATATCGTAGATATGGACTGCAAACTACTTCTGACAACGGTGGAGATTGCCCTAGGCCTAGCGCTATTCCCACAGACTTCAATTTTCTTTAGCCGCCATCCGTATATAAAGGCCTGATTCCACCGGCGCTTTTTCTCGGCAAAATGCGAAATATTTCGCCTGTTTCTTTTGAATTGCGATCACTCGAATAAATTATTTCTACTTGATTGCTTACAATTCAAAAGAAACAGGCGAAATATTTCGCATTTCGCTGACAAAAAGCGCTCGTGGAATCAGGGCTTTACAGTATTTCGTTTTGAAATTTGCGAACATACAGCAATCTATATTTATATTTTATTTTGATAAGTAAATTTGCAAACGTAAACAATCTGTGTGATTGGCCGATTTTGACATATGTTTAAAGTGGGCGTAGCCCGCAGGCTAAGTTGGCGGAAATGGGAAAGCATGGGTTTTCGTGCAGGCTTTACTTCTCTGAGAGCCGCTACGCAGGCTACACGCTTTTCTTGCCTAAGTTACTTACATTCATATTCAAAAAGCTAATTACCTCGTAGGTAATCAATATCCGACGGACATGAAATATAATTAGAAATATATTGTCCTAACTTACATAGTTATTAAATAAATTGCCTTCAGGAAATCGTAATATATATAGTAAAGGTCATATTTGGGATTTTGACAGTGTAAGTTCATCGCATATTTCATATATTTCCAGCTATGGCAAGAGACGCAAAGGATATGGCAGGGGCCGCAAAGGATATGGCCGGGGACACAATGGATATGGCAGGGGACACAATGGATATGGCAGGGGACACAAAGGATATGGCAAGGGACTCAAAGGATATGGCCATGGCTATGGTCGTGGGAGACATGGAGGATATAATGGAGGATATCATGGCTACCGTCATGGAGGATATGGCTACCGTCGTGGAGGATATGGCTATGGTAGCAAATACGGTAAAGGCGGGCGTGGTGGTTATGGTTATGGGCGGTAGACACGAGGGTGGTTTATATGGATAAACATGCATTTGTAACGGTAAGCAAAACCACTTAAATATTACCTAATACATGATAACTGAATGGATAAGAAGGGATTTAGTTTCGAGGACAGAAATGAATTTTCAAGTACATGACATCCAGGTTATTCATTTGAACTGATTATATTTAGCTATTAATTGTCTTAACGTTCAGTGTTTATGGATTTTTATTATAATAATTTTTATTTCTATTTTGCTTAGGACGAACTGGCCATATTACGGAAAATATTATCAACATCACTGCATTCAACTTAGATCAATGTAATTATGTATCGTAGCTAAACATGTATACTGTAGAATAATAAAATTAATGCATTGCAACAATCTATCTCGTTCTCTTTTATTGTGTTTATAATGAACCAATGTCTTTAATTGGTGCATGGACCGCTTCGGAACCAGAATTACAAAACTAAATGAAACGTTACGCAGTAAAATAGCTTTTGCTGCAATTTTGGCTGAAGTGAGTGATTGGCATGATTCCTAGTCTAAGTGGAGATTGGGGTTTTGCTAATCATCCTTAATTACTTTATTGCAGCTTAGATTCTAAGTTTAGATGTTCTGATCATATACCCTCAACTGAACATTTATAACTCATACACTCGTTCACATCCATCAGAACAAGAGAGCCCTGTTTTACAAATCTTGATTATTTTCGAATTATTCTTTCAAAACATGCATTACAAGTAAAGTAAACAAAAAATATTAATAATTGTCATTGTTCTTTTAATTCTTGACATATAAAGTGCTTTAAAGAAGAAAATAATATTAATTTATTAAAAATTGGATCACCGTCGACGTAGAGAAAAGTTGTGTTAAACTATGAAACTTAAGTAATTGAACGACCAACAAAAGGTCTCGCGCAAGAAAAGGTTTTCCATATTTGTATATTTCTTCCAAAACCAAACTTACCCTAATGCTCCGACGCAATTCCAGTTAATCAAAGAATCCCATCCACTCTCCTACCGCCACCATTCGATGTTGATGGCATTCCCAGAACACAGTTACAGTTAAATAAAGCAATTGTAATAGCTACGTCCAATATTGTTCTTGTTAAAAGAAGATAGCCACTGGCAATGTTTTAATAGTGTCGCAGATGGTTTTGACCAGTATTGTAGCTATATTTCCCCTAACTTTTTCGCGCGTCCAAAAATTGCGAAGGCCTTATCAACAAAATTTTAATCAGTATGTTTTACAGCCGTTTAGTGTCAATAGGTATAGCACAAGTTGTAATAATGAATTAATGATAACCGCTTATCGCATGCAGAGGGCATCCTAAGGCCTATCTCCCATTTTCCAAAATGGGTAGTCTAAAACTTAAGAATGGGCAGTTCTAAAATTCAGTTTTCGATCTTTATATGAAATTATACAGATATTAAAAACAAACTAAATGTCACTCTGAAAACGCAGGAAATGGCCATTCTGGACTTATACATTTCAAACTTTTCCGGGGAGGACATGACCCAGAACCCTCCTAGAAATACGTGTATCCAATACGCCATGACCATCCAATACGCCATGACCAAACGAATATAGTAATCCATTTGCACGAAATCTTTTTTTATTTCACTTATAGTTGTAATCAATGCAGCTAGCCAATTCTAAGTTACGTTATACCAAGTGAGATTTGTACAACACTATAATTATTATTATTATTATCGTCATAGCTTTCTTAAAGTGAGACAAAGTGTTCATAGTTAACGAGTGCACACTGCCCATGTCAGCTCACGCCCTTCGACATATGGTGGGCAGGGAAGTGAGCCACATTTTCCGTCAACGAAATAAAACACTATGCCGTCCTTCCTAGCAGAACCTCCTGTTATGTAATCTGGGTTCTCAACCACACATGAGAACATCGTACGATAGTGGGTGTATTTTTGCGCCATGAGATATCCTTGATACTCCAATCACCACCCCGCGGGACACGCGTTACTTCCTGGTATCATAATTTGAGAGGCACGATGTCTCACATAACACACGGCACAGGGAACGTCTTGTTCGTGCAGATCCTCCGGATATATGTCTCCATCAGTTCCAGTTCTATATTCAGCGCCATAAATTCGAGCATGAGTTTCATGAACACCAGATTTATATTGGTTATAAATTTGGTTACGTGACAAACACAGATAATTAGAACCACCACCTTTCTCGCTATCGAAGGAACCCCCGACGTAGCCTATAGAAAAAGAAAAACAAAGTGTGATTTGCCTTTTTATACTATTATCTTGTTTTATTTGCAAACCGTTTTTTAATTCTTCTTAAAACTTAATATTTAATAGTCCCTAACATTCCATTTCATCCGCACAGCAAGATTTTGGGGAAAAATATCAATATTCCCTTCGTACCCCTATCATACGTTAGACTGAGAGCAGCATAATTTTAAGGAAATACACTGCAGAAAAAGGAAATACAGTGCAGATTTCCCGGGCTTTTAAGCATTTTCATATTGGGAAATGGACATGTTTTCAGCAAGAACACCCTGGGAACGAGTTTGGCCGAAGACGATATTTAACATGACGGTCTACTTGACAAAAGGCAGATTTTTTACTTTTTTGATGGACTTCTGGTGCTTGGCGAACGGAAAGCACAATAGGACTTCTTAATTGTATTTTTAACTTCTTAAATGAGTTCGAAACGCACGATTCGCGTTGGTATTGTGCAGTTCTATGCATTAAGTAAGCCCAGGGCGAGGGTACTAATTCCGCTCGCCTATTTACACCCAGGGAAAGGAAGGCATTGGCGAAATGTGAGGATCATCACACATCGCGGGCGTCTGGCTATGATCCAAGGGTCGACCTCCCACTGATCTCAGAAATATGGAAGACTGTAATGGAATGGCGAACACTGATTGGTAAAATTTAAAAATTTCGCTTTATGATGACTGCATTGCCATTACGACATCATAGGAACAGACAGCATTTGAAAATATATCGGCTTTTTAAAAGATTTTGCAAATTTGCTAACTCTTTTATACGAGTTATATTGAGAAAATAAAAAAAAATTTAACAAATAAAATATTTAAGAAAAGTTATTTAATCAAACGGAAACCAGCATGAAGAGGGGAAAAAAGCCAAAAACTTGCTAAAAGAAGGGAGAAAAGACGCCCACGTTTGCTACAGGAGACTTGAAAACTTTATTTAGAAACCCGAAAAATCGTATATGAGACGTGCAGCCAAACAGTTTATTCGTTCGTAACAAAAAGGCTGGGGGCAATAGATTGCTGGAAATCGTAAAACCCAATGAAGGTAAGTTTGTTTTTAATATTGATGTATTAGCTTTATAATTGCTTTAAAAACTGTCGTTGCCTATAATGATAAAAGACTTATTGAAATCTTTAAATAAAGAGGAAAGCAAAGTTATTTTCATTGGAGAATTTGAAGTATTTTTATTTGAAACTCAAAGTTTAACGATAAAGGGTAGTTTAGTTTTAAGAATATTTCAAACGTTTTGCGAAGCGTTTGTGGTGAATTTTATATTAAATTGAAGCTTAATTCACATATAATAACGTATAATAACATACCTAACATATATATTTTTGGGAAATTGATAATTTTGTAATTAAAAATGATGTTTTTAGGGGATTTTTCAATTTAAAAAATATTCTTAATGAAATGATCGTGTGGCCATGACAACTAATTTAAATACTTCACGTTCGGAAAATATAATGGTTTTGCCTGCAAGGCGAGGGGTTTCTGCATATATTTATTGTGTATATTATTAATAAACGTATATAATAGCATTTTCTAGGGCAATGTGGATAAAACAAAAACTCGTGCCTTTTTTCACTCGTCCTTCGGACTCATGCTATTTCCATAGTCCTTGAAAAACTCACTCGCACATGTTTTATCCTAATTGCACTCGAAACCATGCTATTGCCTGTACAAATAATTCTAAACTCCTAACCGTAAGTTCAAATTTACTTCTATATTGGCAGAAACTATCTCTTTCTCATGGAACAAATGGTTTGATTCTAACCTGAATAGACCAATGAAGTTCCAAATGTACTTGGACAGGTCGCTTTCCACCGGATATAACTCCTCCGTATCCTCTATATACCTTAAAAAAGGTCACACCATACCTTAACGCAAACTTTGTTAGGAACGCAAAATTTTTCTACTATGTTAATAATACATGATCAGTAACAAAACAGAATTTGTCTCGTAACATTTTGTCTTTCATATATACTCTCAAACGGGACGCGAACGACGTTCAAGGGGCATTTCACTCCAAAAAAGCTTATGGGACTCCCTTTCGGTCGACTTTCCATAATCCGCGGATTTTTTGTGGATTTGTACTTTTCCAGATTTCTTGGATTTCCGGATTTCTGTAGATTTGTCGAATTTCTTTAGGACTTGAACGAATTTTTAAACTTTTGGATTTTGACGTTTGTTTCAAATTGTATCCGATTTTCTCATAGGGAGCCGAGGCGTTGATATTGTGTATTGTTTATGTTAAACTTCAAACGTGAACTTCTACAGTATACAACATTGATCAGAAAATGCAAAATTATATCGTTTATTAATACTTACTTCGTAATGAAAACATCAAAATCAGCAAAACAATCTCAAAATATTAAATTTGCATTGTCACATACTTCATACAACTATAACAAAGTGTATCATACCGACGACGTTCCGATCGTAAGCCGAACAACGAATGCGATGCACTACAGTATAAAATTAAGAAAGGGATGAAACTCCGACAAGGCTTTCGTCATATGTGCACCGCAACAGGTGGTGACGGAAGTGACGTATCCGGAAATGAAAAGCTGTTTAATTAATATGTGTTCAAAATTTAAAACATGCAACGACCGTTACGTGGTTTACTCAAGGCTATTTTAAGAAATTTACAAAATGTAAATTTAATCGAATTCTGCTACGAAAATACATTTGTCGAATATTGAAAATAATATAGATAAGAGAAAAATGAAAGCCTGTAATAGAGAACGACTTGCATTTGTTAATAAATAATTAAATGGTAAAATTTCGTGAGCAGTTTAAAAGTTTATTTACATGTATAAAACGGAAATAATTCGTTTGAATATCAACCCAAAACGTTTGAATATCAACCCAAATCTAAATAGGCAAAAGCTTATGTGAAAGCGTTATAATTTCTGATTTCTCCTTACTGTTATAAAGTTCGTAATAGTTTGATTAATGATAAACATCAATCAATTCATTTATTTATATGGGCATTATTGCATTCGAATTTCGAATGCTAAATTCTATAAATTTAACTTTAACAGATAAACAATTTCATTGTTTATACCGCCATTCGTATATAACGGCAAATCACTACTATGCAGCAGTTGTGAAGAAAATTTCCCCCTAACTTTGATTAAAACTCGGCATAATTTTGAAAGAGGTTTTTTTAGATGAGAAGAGTTCAAAAATAGACCTTTTTACGTCACTTCCGTCACCACCTGCATGTTGCGGTGCACATATGACGAAAATAACCTTTTTTAAGTCATAAAATATATATATTTAATGATCATTTTCGTCAATTTTTTTCACTAAATAGCAAGAACATATGTTCAAAATGTAGCATACCGAAAATCAGCCGTTTTTGTCAAGTTCCTCGCGAATTAGAAGAATTATAAAATCAAGCCTTGTCGGAGTTTCATCCCTTTCTTAATTTTATACTGTAGTGCATCGCATTTGTTGTTCGGCTTACGATCGGAACGTCGTCGGTATGAGACACTTTGTTATAGTTATATGAAGTATGTGACAATGCAAATTTAATATTTTGAGATTGTTTTGCTGATTTTGATGTTTTCATTACGAAGTAAGTAAAATAAACGATATAATTTTTCATTTTCTGATAAATGTTATATACTGTAGAAGTTCACGTTTGAAGTTTAACATCAACAATACACAATATCAACGCCTCGGCTCCCTGTGATTTTCTTCGGATTTTGGGGCATTTTGTGGCAAAGTGCATGTACGAAATATTTCGAGTGTGAAGCCCGTTGGTCAAAACTGCATGGATATATATTCTTCTCGCCACGCATTTTTACGTCGTCTTTGACGCCCTGTCGTCGATTGTATCGTGAGATAATATGCACCACGCACGAATTCAGTGAATTTCTAATGTATGCCATCGCCGGATATACTTAGTCAAGCTCGGTACATCACTTTTTCCAATTTACAATCGTCGACACAACGATTTTTCTGGCAACTAATATACTTACTCAGAATAGAATTGTTAGAAGCAGCGTCGTTTTCGGCGAAGACGTCGTGTTCCGCAAAGTCGTTAGCCTGCAAACAGGCTCTCTGAACTCTCTTTGAAATTTGAGAGAGAGCCTGCAGGCCTAGCTAATAAAAACGCGTCTGTGCATTGCTTAGAACGACGCAGCATTCCCATTGGTTGAAATTGAGTAGTTGGTTATTAACTGCCATAAAAGGTAATCAAATGACATTTACACAACAATAGATTCAAGGAGTCAACACAAAGTGCGGAGATCGAAAAATATCGTTCTATAGCGATAAAAAATGTATTAGACGAGTTGTATAGAAAACTAAATTTTTGTTTAAAGTTAAAGGATGGGCAGTCAAAAGCTCTTAACAATATTCTAGACGGAAACGATGTTTTTGCTGTATAAGAGAGTTTGGCAAATACAACGGCAACGTTCTTATATCAACAATAGCATCTTTACTCTAAGACAAAGGCGACTATAATTTGCATTCTTGAGCATTCTAGTACGCCGTAGTTGTTCAAACTCAAGTCGTTGCGGTGTTTATGTGAATTCACTTACTATTGCTACTTCAGGGAATTTCAGGGTTGTTTGAAAGAAAGACAAGTGCTTTTAAAAGTTTTTGCTCAAATACAAAAGTATAAGTAATTTTGTTTTCTGCCGTCGCCTTTGTTGGTTGCCAAACTCACTAACGACACTAGTATTACCGACAGGCTATACATGTATTTATATACGGCAAAAACTTAATATTCCAAGTTCCAACTTTCGGTCCTTGTCGAGGAGAGAAAAAGAAAAGAACCCGCTATAGCCATCATCATTTATTTATTCATTTGTCCTCTAATTAAGTAGAGGACCAAATGGAAGAAGCTAAGGGCCTTGGTATGAGCCCGGTTTGCGCCGTTAGTGACGAACCGAACATGGAGGACATAAAATCGTGGAAATTTCATTTGATATGTGGACATGTATTCAGTTGACGCTTTAAAATATTCAAGTTGTCATTTGCGTAATCGTTTGGTTGCTTTTGTTATAGACGAGTCTCACGTCATTGAGACGTGGACTGGAGAAAGGAAAATACAAATTCAAAATGCACATTTTATTTTTATGCATGTCCCGCATAATCTTTCAGACCATTCTGGACCTCTCTCACAAACAATCCCGATACAGTGGCGGAAATTCACTTTTTCCGGTGGGGGTCAAAGCCTCCAAAATTTCCGACAAAACTTCCAAATTTCCGACATATCCCCCCATTTGCACTCGAAAAGACTGTTTTTAGCCCTCTTTCAGGTCAAAATTTCCGAAAATTCATCAATTTTTTGTGAAGGTGGGGGGGGGGGGGCGGCCACGCCCTCGCCCCCTCCCCCCTCAAGACTTTCGCCACTGTCCCAATATTTTGCAAAAGAACTTCAAAACTATCTTGCCCTACTGTTGGCTTGAGCAAGTTCACTATTGAAACGGACTTCCGTGTATCTCCGTATGTTACTTTTAAAGAAGCATTGCAACAACCGCAAAATTCGTTCACATGTTCAGCGTTTTTTTGCGTGTAAATGTTTTTGTAGTTTCTTTCCAACTTGACATTACAGACTTGTTGTAAACAATCATGCGTTGAAATCGAGATTTGCGTTTTGTTTACGTATATTCGCAGGCTATTACATAAGGGGCGGACCATTTGACTTTTGAGAGTTCAGTCTGTGCAAGAATTTTTTTTCCGCCCAGGCGAACAAGACAGATATTTTTTTCCTGTAAAAGTGCAGCGCAAGATATTTTTCCCCAATATATTTGGCGGCAGGATATTTTTTTGCCTCTCATAATAACGGCTTACAGTAACTTAAGGCTTTCATCAAGGGTGGGTTGACTACAACATTTTTGTAGTTCGCTATAACTACAGCTACTTCAAAAATATGTAGTCAGCTACAACTACTGCTACTTTTGAACAAAAGTAGTTCACTACTGACTACTGCAGCTTGTGCTTAAAAAATGTAGCGAACTATGTCGCTATTTCGCTACTCTATATTAACCTTTTTTTGTGTTGGTGTAGTGTACTCAGGTGAATATGATATTTGTGGTGTTACTCTGAGTGTATATCCACACCGGGCGAGCTTGAAAAATATGCCCGGCCACGGTGGGATTCGAACCTACGACCTTTGGAATACTAGCCCAATGCTCTTCCAACTGAGCTACGCGGTTGCTCATATTCGGAGCTACGCGGTAGCTCAGTTGGAAGAGCATTGGGCTAGTATTCCAAAGGTCGTAGGTTCGAATCCCACCGTGGCCGGGCATATTTTTCAAGCTCGCCCGGTGTGGATATACACTCAGAGTAACACCACAAATACTATATTAACCTATAACAAATCGACTTCCGAGTAGCAACAGTAAACAAAAAGGGTCAAAGAAACCTTTTTGTAAGCACTATACAGTGTTCAGGAGTGCCACTTTTCAATGCGCTAAAATAATCTTTACTGTAGAAAATAATCTTTTAAGCAAACCGTGTCTTAATATCATTATATTCTACGAACGGTTGCTAACAATTTTAAAAAGTAGCGAATAGCGATTCGCTGCTTGAAAAGTAGTCAACTACTTGGCTATTTTTAGGCAAAATGTAGTTCGCTCTAACTACAACTACTGTTTTAGAAAAGTAGTCAAAAACTACTGGCTACTTTAAAATTGTAGTTCGCTACAGTAGCTATCATCAGAGACGTAGCAGGGGTTTTCAGTCAGAGGAGGCCGAGAACTGAATCCCAAGAGGGGCCAAGGAATTTTCACTGTGCTTTATTTTATATGGTTATGTCTTAATGTTCCCCACACTAAAGCGTGCAAGTTTACTTACAAAGAATGTATAACTGCAGGAAATGCAGGGATAGAGTAGAGTACTCGAAAATGGCCAGGGGAGGGGTCGGAGGGGGGTACAGTGTATGAATGACCTGTAAGGCCAATGAAAATTGATATCATGTTTCTCGTCCCCCGCCCGCATGGGATTTATCTGCCGCACGAAAATTTTTCATTATTCATTATTTTTGAAAAATAAGCTTAAAAAACACCAAATTCATCTCCAGATCAAAGTCTTATTGCTTTATTCCGCAAGCGCAACTCAAATTGTATCTTTCTAAAGATATTACAGCTCGCCAAATTGCCTCTATTTTTCATGTCAGCCCTGTACTGGTATGTGTAGAAATATACTGTAGTCTGTAGACTGTAGTGTAGGACGTATTAAATTAAAATGAATTATACACCAATTTTTAATGCTTCAGATTTTTATGGGGTTTTCTACTGGGTCAAGGAAATTATCGACAAGCAGAATTCAAATACAAAAAATAATGAAAAATGAAAAAATCCCGCTCCAAATTCTTGAAAATTGTGGACGAGAAACATGATATCAATTTTCATTGGCCTAACCTTGGGGGGTTCGGGGGCATGCTTCCCCGAGAAAATTTTAAAATTTGAACCTCGGAAATGCTATTTCCTGCGTTTTCAGCCATGGTTCGTCCACGACAACTTTGCTGTATAAGCCTAAGAAACACTTACTGTCCCTTATTTTAAACAAGGGAAAATCACAAAGTGAACTTTGATTAATATGTAATAAAACAAGATTTCAATAATGCAATTTTTAACTGCCCTCCGAAACAACAATGTTCCACCAAATATAGCTCTGTAGCTTTTCAATCGTTCATACAGATAGCTTGTTGGGGATCGGGTTGCATCCTCTTCAGAAATGTTTTAAAATCTAGACTCTCTAAACTGGCATTTTCGCATTAAAATCATCGTATATACAGTACGTTCAACTTGCATCCTGTAGATGGGCCTTTGAAGCTTTAATAGTTTGGAGCTATGTTATCAAAAAACGCACACAGACTCAACCATCCAAAAATACTTTTTCTACCATGCATATTAGATATGTATAAATAACTTATAAACTTGTACATAATTATCTTAAGCCCAGATTTTCTCAGGGGGTGGGGCAACAATTTTGCCAGGGAACACCACTGGCTATCGTATGTCAGAGGCTCCAAAGGCGGTAGAATCCCTGTGATGTTATCCACTGTTCACCCCGTGTTCTTTTAAGCAAATGTGCCTGCTCAAAAATGCAAAATCTTGCAAGCCTGTGGACACAATACTGAAGTGAAGAGCATCAGTAGAGTTACATGTAGAAAATTTTTTTTTGAGCGCTCTCTTTTGCATGATATTTTTTTTTCTCGATTGTGTGCTGCATGATTTTTTTTTTCTTTCTCCTTGGGTTGCAGGAAATTTTTTTTCGAAATCTTCCACCCCTCCCCCCCCCCTCAAAAGTCAAATGGTCCGCCCCTTAGAGGTCGTATAGCAGTGACAGGAGAATTGATAGGAGAAATGTTATTGCTTTCATCAGCAACACTTACAATTTCTTGGCTAGTGGTGAGACTGGCAGCTTCCCTAGGTCTAGGCATGTTGCTTTCTTTTTCGTGTCAGCTGATTTTGATTCAGTATGTTTTTGTACTGGTCATTTAGTGGGGCATCTTGACATGGTTTTTTTTCCAAGTTTCAATAAATTCTTTGTCTCCCACAGTCATCGAAGTATTAAAGTTGTCTTTGAGAACTTCGTTTCTTTTTTTTCCAATTCTTTCAAGTCATCTGTAATTGGGTAAACTGACAATTAGACACATGTCTTCTCTCTATTGCTTATATGCATGCTGTTTACCATGACAAATCAATTTTACTGCCGTTACTCATTAGTATTCACATTAATACAATATATTATGGCAAATAATACACTAAACAATGTAATTATCTAATACAATACAATCTTACCTTCTAAAAAGATAATTTTGGCTGGTAGATCAGGGTTTTTCTTATCCCAATAAAGCCAAACCATTTTTCCCTCACGTGCTGAACCCTCTTTGATCATGACGTCTTGCATGGCTCCAGTGAATTATCAAGAGGAAAGAAGCACAAAGCGAATTTTTTTGGTTGCAAACTTGCTATTTGATGTCTCAGCGTAGTCATAGTAAAACCGCTGTTTTTACTCCAAAGTAGAAAATAATTTGTTTTGTAATTTGTTCTCTATCGCTAGGTTGAAAATTGCTGTATGGCCTTTCGCCTTAAATATCAGTGTTTGATTATATATAAAACTTCGTTCAAGTGATGACTATAAAGCGTAGGACAGACTTATACGCCTTTTCCTTATTATCTACGTATTTCCTTACTTCAGTGGCAGTGGTCGACAGAAAACCAGATAACATTTATAAGCGTAAATAAAGATCAACCGCGAAAAGGAAATTATATGAGTCAGAGCGCAACCTGCGTATATAGCAGTCGCTTTATTTTATTGAATTAAGGTTTTGAGGATTTTTTAGTAAATGGCGGGTTAGATGAAGCGACTGCTATACGCAGACTACGCACATCTATACACTATGTCTATGAAATGCCGATACAAAACAATACATACAATATCTATATATTTATACCGCTTAGTATAAGCTACATTCTAATCTCTTCACTTTTAAAATTATTTCTTTTGTGTATCTCTTCGTCCTTTGACTTTGTGTAACATTTAATGATAAAATTTTGTTGTGAAATAATTAGTTTTGTTATTATTAATATTAGTACTAATGTTGATTTTGATGCTAAATGATTTCTATATTATAAAGTGACAACTATAAAGCGTAGGATAGACTTATACGCCTTTTCCTTATGATCTACGCATTTCCTTACTTCACTAGTGGTTGACAGAAAACCAGAAAATAAAGATCAACCGCGAAAAGGATATTATATGAGTCAGCGTAGTAACTTATATAGTAAGCTAGAAAAGTTTTATTTAATGTATTTCTAATCTCTTCACTTTTGAAAATTATTTCTTAGTGTGTAACTCTTCGTCCTTTGACTTTGTGCATGTATAACATTCAATGTGTCAATGATAATGCCAATGAGTGGGATTGTGTTGTGAAAAATTTATTTTTGTTGTTAGTACATGTTGATTTTGACGCCAAATTATTTCTATACTAAAATTCCCGATTGGGTGGTCAGACTGTTTGGACCGTCGGGTTCGAATATTCACTCTGTATATTGAATTGAAACTACACTATTTATATACGCCTGTATCAATATGTATATAAAATATTTGGTTCACAATTCATTGTATACTGCCACATTATACATAAAATAAGATAGTAAATACATGTACTGGTAAATTCAAAACCTAACGGCAAGAATGCACTAAATTACTGTATACGGCAATATTATATAACTTTACATAATCATTCTGGCGTCAATAGAACACAAGCAATCACCTTATTTGTTTTATCTACAATGATTTTGAAGTGAACATATACGTAGCAAACTCTTACGTATCAAACCCAAAATTTGAAACCAGACACCTATTTTACTAGTTCTGTTGACATTCTTCATTAAAGCAGAGTGCCAAATAACGCACGGTTACGCACACTTACGCACGGTCATCCTGTTCGAAAATTGTGCCGGTCGGCAAATGTTATTGGTTGCAAGGATATATGACACTAGGCACGCTGAACTTAAGCAGCAGCGTTGCCTAATTAGCTTAGGCACGGTCTTGCGTGCCAAGACCGTGCCTAACAGTGCTTTACGCACGGCAGACCGTGCCTGTTACGGCTTTGGGTATCAACACTGTGCACACAGCCAGTACGTATAACACCAACTGAACACAGAAAATATATTTGTTGTTGTAAAATTTGTAAACACTGCTGTTCAGCCGTTGCAATTTTGAAACATACTGTATATTTGCTCATAGCTGGTCATATTTTGTTTGCTTTTGAATATTACTGTAATGTTTAGACCTATAAAGATGGTATTGTCTTCCTTTTGATATAAAATTTTTTGAGTTGCCGTTCAGTATTAATGTGCAAATTATTGCTCGAATGATTGTATATTTGAGTCTACTAGTTAGACCATTCTGACATTTATATAAATAGACAGTGCATGTCAGTGACTCAGTGTTACGAGTATGTTATGACACAGATATGTTGTAGTGAATTGTATCATACTAATGTACCAAAGTAACCAAACTGACGTTGCCAGTGTAAATTGTTTTATTTACTCCAAAAGTTATTTAAATTGGCAATTTTTGAAAAGTTTGAATTCTCGAGCTAGTCTAGCTATTATCTACAACCACAGAGTAAGGAACTACAACAGTAATATTAAAAGTATATTACTTATTACTCACACTACATCATCAGGGGATATGATTAGTTGGATTGGAAATAAATTATCACAGTAATTAGTGGGTGGTGATTTCCTTGAGATTGTTGCAGGCTCTTCTTTGAGATGAGCCTGCATGAGAAGATAGGTGGATCCAGTGTCAAAGACAATGTCCGCAACGTAACGAGCAGGTAGTTACAGTTTCACCAGTGTACAGTATGATAATTCTGGAGCCTGTTAATTTCAACCTGGGTTTTCTGTTCCTCGTAGCAAAAACTTAGGTCGGGTTAATTTTTTTAGAAACGTTCATGTTTGAGAGTGATATTTTTCGTCAATTACAGCAGTACACAAGGCACAAACATTCATTAAATGTTGTATTAACTTTGAAACAAAGCGGTTTTACTCTACGTAACTAGTATGAAACTAACGCCCTGAACTGGGTATGAAAAATTGCTCCTAGCTCTGCAAACATCAGATAAAAAGATTAGGGTTGGTGATTTCACTAGCCAACAGCTAGGCACGGTCGGGAAACCGAACAATGAAAAACCCATTGCGAATATAATATCTATGATTACAAGACAAAGATAGATGCTTTAGGATCACTATTTAAATTCTGTGTCTGAATGCCTATTATTTCTGCATGTACTTTTACGAAGTTTCTTATTCTTTAGATTAGCGGAGCTTATGTCAACCCTAACATGGATGAGCATGGCAATAAAACAGATAGGAAAGGTGGTGAGAAACAAGGCAAGAACACATCGGTAGCATTTATGAACTATATTTATGTTAAATATTTTTGTGTGTATCAATGTATATGTTAAATGAATAAATATTTTGAAAAAAATGTCCAGCATTGGGTTTGGATTGAATTGACGTAGAAACATGCATGTTGAAATGACGACATTACTCCAACGTCAATTCGATTTGCATTTTCACCTGCTTTTAAACATTGATATGACGTCGAAAATGAAACATGGAAACGAAATGGATTTCCAGACGTTGAAATGACATCGATTCATAGATGTTGAAACAACATCGATTCATGGACGTTGAAAGGACGTCAATTCAAAGACGTTGAAACGACGTTGATTTCTTGATGTTGAAACGACACTGATTTCCAGACATTGAAAGGACGTCGATTTCTCAATGTCGATTCCGTTTGCATTTTCAATCCTTTTTTGACGTTGATTCGACGACATCCTCTGACATTGTTTCGACATTGCTTTGCCGGCTGGGTGGACTCTATTAGAGAAACAATGTGGACTGGACTCTATTAGTAAAACGCAGACAAGGACCACAATTTTGCGTCAAATTTCGACCAAGATGGGACAAAATGGCAGCGAGCCTTCAAGTCTGAAAAGAAAGGCAAAAAAGGACCCAGAGTTGCCAAAGTTTAGTGAAACTTTTCGAAAAAGAAAAGAAGTTGCGTTGCGGTACGTTTGCATCCATATACCTATAGGAAAATACTAAGGAAAGCCAGAAAAGTGGTTACCAAAAAGAATAATGTCGAGTCCATTGAGTCGAAATCCTGTTTCATATATGAAAGAAGCCACACTGTTGAACAGTACAAAAGGCCACAGGAACATAATCCGGTTCCTTGGATTTTGTGAAGAACCATACTCAATAATGAAGGAAGGTATTCTTGCTTCAATTTTCGCCCGTTTGGAGTTGCAAAAAGCCTTTGCACTCTGGAAGATCCTATCCTTCACAGACTTGCCGCCAACATGTGCCAAAGATGTTGTCGCAGGTTTGAAATATTTGCATAGCAAGAATTGTCGCTCACCAGGATCCGAAACCAGGAAACATATTAGTTTCAAATCAACACTACAACAGCACATCCCTTAATGAAGATGAGTTTGCCAAAGCTTATGGTGAATGCCATGTTGTTTGTAAACTGGCTGACTTTGACTTAAGTCGGTCTCTCGACTTACAAACCAAGTAATTTTTTATGTCAAAGACGGAATCAGTCGTGGTATTCCTGCATACATGGCACCTGAAATTCATTTGCATTGACTTTTTCAAGCAAGCCAGGAAGATTTAAAAAAGGCTGTCATGTGGTTGTTGGGTTTGGTGATGTTTACATTGTTGAATCCAAACCTTCGCAGTCCTTATCGCACAGAACTGGTAACACATATATTTGATAACCGTTATTGGGTTGTTTTTTATGTGTGTAAATACGACCAATGAAATCACTGTCTTGGCTTCCTCAAACTTTTCTCACCTTGCATTTTTTGGCATAAAGTATGTCACACATCGTATACTTGAAAAAACATGCACTGAATGAAAATTGTTGATGCATTCCAATCAAAATTAAGCAGTTCAAAGAGATTATCTTAATTTATAATATTTATTAAATGCTGATCAAAATTATGAACAGAACTCATTAGCGATATTCTTGCTTGGTTCAGACTGATATCAACGATCTGCATAAATTAATATATAACAGATTTCTGCATACTGCAATAATTACCAAACATTATATATGCATGCTTGGCCACGCTGCCATGGCGTCCACTTCACAAGAATTCGAAGAAATTGAACAAATAGAAGTCTTAAATGAATCTAATCAATCCATTCAAGCGACTGATAATGCTACTAATAAACGTAAGCGAAGTACTGTATGGCGGTATTTCTCAAGACATGAATTACAGGAAGGAATATCCATTTGTACAGTATGTGGAGAGACTGTCAAACCTAGCAATACGACAAATCTCTTCAAGGTATGTAAATATATATTATAACGAGTTTGCGAAGCATTTGGGTTTCACTCACAGAAAAGTTACCCCTTACTGGCCCCGGGCTAACGGTGTAGTAGAGAGATTCATGCGCACCGTGAAGAAGGTGATAAAGGCAGCTGTGATGGAAAACAAAGTTTGGAAGCAAGAAATGTACAAATTTTTACGAAACTACAAAGCTACACCTCACACGTCAACCAAAATCCCACCAGCCATCGCACTGTTTGGCCGTCCAACTCACAAGATGACTTTATACATAAAAACGATGATCATGCTAAACTCAAGATGAAGTACTATGCTGACCTGAAATCCAATGTCAAACTCAGCCATTTAGAAGAAGGTGATACAGTACTTCTGAAGAACGACTACAAAAGTAAAAGGTTTCCGCCGTATGATCCACATCCATATAAAGTGGTGGAGAAGAAAGGATCAATGGTCACTGCAAGGAGAGACTCCAGATCAGTAACCCGTAATTCGTCTTTCTTCAAGCCTGTTGTAAAGCCGGAAAATGAAGAAACAGAATGCCCAGAACTTTGTGTTCCAGAAAGATCACAAGAAAATCCTGACATCTCTGAAGACGCTGAATGTGAAACATGAGAAAATCCTGACGTCTCAAAAGATCCTGAACGTGAAGCACCTCACACAGAAAATTCCTCCATAGTGACAGAAATGCCTAGATATCCAAGAAGAGTAAGGAAAAAGCCAGACAGATATCAAAGTTGAGCATATGGACAACAGTATTATAAAATTTAGTATTAATTGAGATCATGAACATTTGACATTTAGTAACTTAATTCAGCTTAAGAAATTAATGAAACTCTAGCTAATTTGCATGGTATGTTTTTAAAAAAAAATTATAAAAGAGAAAAAGTCTTGTATATATTTATGACAAACACTTTGACATTTAAACCTATAATAATTAATTTATTTATTTATTTGAACTTTAACTCCAAAGAAGGGAGAGATGTAATGTTTATACTTATTATGAACTCATTATGAATAATTTGCATGAATAATTAGTGGACATGTATTTTGTATAAAAGTCGGTAAACTAAGTTAATAAAGGGTTAGTCAATTTAAACTTAGAAGGAGGAGTGGACATTACAGTGGATATAGTTATGGTGTAGTAGTATGCAATACCACAATGATTATGAACTCATACTCGTTTATCTACAGGCACACAGGTTTCTTAGAGTCATTCCACAACCATATCTTGATGTATGCTCCCAAGTGTCAATCTTACATGTATGTATTATCTTGTCTTCACACAATGTTTCTTAGGGGTTGTTTATATGGAAGCCGGGCTGGCCCACCTAACAAGACAGTCCTGTAAGTGAGATCTCACAATGCAGTTATTTTTATAGTTAAAATTACTGTGTGTTTAATGGGAAAGACAGGCTGACCTGGTTGTCGAGATCCCGCTTGAAAGAGGTGATATCCTGCTTACTGGGAAGAAACATTTCCATATAAACACTCAAGCAGGCAGACAAAAGTTCAAAGATGCCGCCGTATCTCAAAATAATGTGAGAACAACAAAATTGTCTTGGCAAGCGGGATGGAATTTGCTCATATAAACATGCTGCTTACTGGGCTAAGAACCTACATTTTAAGAACCTGTTAGGCTAAAATTGCGCATTTAGACCCCTTTTATATAAGAACCTGTTTTGGCTAAAATTTCAAACAGGTTCTTAAACTCTAATTGTTAGAACTAAAAACTCTTCACATATGGTACTGAAAATGACCCAGAAGCATGGGCGGATTTACTGGGGGGGGGGGGGTGTTAAACCCCCTAGAATCTCTCTAACCCCTCTAATAAAATGTTCAACCCCAACAAAATTTCACTTCACCCTTCCTATTTTGTGTGAAAGGCTATAACCCAAAAGCCTAATCCCTGCCAAAGCTCACTGAGTGGTGCCACTTGCACCCACCAGAAATTTTTCTACCCCTCCTTTTGAATAAATGAAAATCTGCCCTTGTCCAGAAGTCAGAATCCTGGATATGCCATGACATAATAAACAACATGTCTTTTTATTGAACATATCAACAAAAAATAACTGTCCCTACACCAACCGAAAATGAGTCGCTTTTTCTTAAAAAATAAGAACCTGTTTAGCCTAATTACGCGATTAGCACCATTTATGTAAGAAACTGTTTGGGTTAATACTGTATTACAAATAACAACTATTAGAAATAACTATTTACAATCTAGCAGGTCTACAACCTGTATAGACTCCATTGTGAGAAGGGTAACATGCTCGTATGGCTGTCACACAACAGCTAGGCACAACCCTTCTATTTCCTTTTCCTAAATGTCCATGTTGCCAAAGGACAAACTGTCTGTATGCAGTATGGCAAAAATTCTCATTCTTTCTGGAATTGTCCAAAGCCAAAGCATTTTTCCTATACTGCACGGCAATATCCAAGACATTGGTATCTAAAACAAGCTGTTGAAACAATGGTGTTATTGTAATGCATGCTCATCTTGATCTTGTGCAGCATTTATTTTCTTTTTGTGTGGGCATTATAACGCAATGTACACACCTGCACCACTCTGGAACATTTTCCTCAGGAGGGGCATCTGGTGGATGAACTCTATCTCCAGCAGGAATTTCCCCATTGACCAGATCAGCATAGGCTGCTGGCTCCCTCCTTAGAAGCTCTAAGGCCAACCTTCTAAGTTGGTCAACATTCAAGCCATCTACAAGATTCTGTAATAAAGGATAATTTTTATATAATTATGCACCCGTCATTTACTTGTGACTTAGGGGACAACATTGGGACTTAGGGGAAAATGAACCAATGCCAAATTTGAATGGCAGGCCACTTTATAACATTTAACCTGCATGACATGGTCTGTTTCATGTTGAAATGGTCTCAAGTATAGATTTTATGTTTAAAAAATTTTGTATGAAAGGGAAAGGGCCTCTTTGAATGATTAGATGCATGTATATATAAACATTGGATTTATGGAACGTTTTGGCACACTGTTTGGTGTTAGTTGGTGAACAATTTTGTGGTACTGGAGGTGAATTTGGCTTTTTGCCATGCACGTTTACTTACAATATATTCAAGCCTATTGTTTCAATTCCCCTGTGCAGTAACCAAATATTAATTTAGTAATTTAAATTCAAAATGGAATTATTATTTGACTTTGAGAGACTGTATGGTTTTCAGCCATTGTTCAACCTTCCTATATCTGACCAAACAGTGATAAGCACAATATACCAATTTTAAATGATCTTACCACTATTTGTCTGAGCACTTCAGGCTGAAGTTGGTCGATACGTATCAAAGACTTGCATTAAAATTGTGATGTGATTGACTAAAAATATTGTCACATGTCTGAAACAATTCGGCAATGAGCCAATTTGCATACACACACCACAAGTTTGTTTCAAGCTTACAAAAATATATACTGATCGTTAAACAATCCAAATCAAATGAGATTAAAGTCAAATCTTACCATGGTATCATCTCATTCTTTGTTGTCGCTTTCCTCAAGTCTTGGGTTGTTCATGCAAGACCATAAATCGCCGTCATGACATGTTCGAACAATACTTATCCATGCTTTTACATGGACAGAAGTTTCTTCCATTTTCGCACAGGCAACAATAACGGCCACAGCATTGGCATGTTGTAATATTGTCAACGTTTGGTAATCTCGCAAGCTCCTCTATTGGGCTTATTTCTAAGTCTTGAAGCGAGAAGCTTTCTTTCTTCAAGTGTGTCAACCATAGTCAAAAATAGATAGTGTTACTACACTGGTTATACTTCATGTTATGCTAATAATAAACAAAATTCACACATGTGCAAAAGGGACTTTTCCCCCTCTTTAATATTTTCACTTTTGTTCTTACTGTCCACAAAACCATGTGGACAATATGATGCACTGTTAGTTATCCTTCGATAAGGGACCAGTTATAAAGTATGTGTACTCGGGTTGGACAGTAAGTTGGGGGGATACGAAACAAATGATCTAACCTTTGGGGGTATGAGATGAATTATGACATTTGTGGGGGGGGGGGGTACAAAAAAAAATGAGTCGAATACTATGTCTATGATTAATAAAACTAAAGACTTTTATAATACAATAATATACTTTTAAAACATTGAGTATATGTTCCCAATAAATTGCAATGTAGCACAGTAGTATTTATGAAAGTTTCTGGATCGGAACCTATTAGTTTGACATCTCTGCAACCTGAACAAGTCTTTGATTACGTTATTTTACCGTCGGGTGGCTCCCCTGCTCGTTTACTTTTAGAATGATTTAAATATTGAGAAAGATATGAAATACATCACAAGGTTCTGTTGATATAGCCATAAATAATGTGCATGGCTGGTACCTCTTTTGACTCTATTAAGTTATGCAAAAGATAGTCAGGCAAGTCCTATTAATGGAATACTGGCAAGCATACACAAGTACAGATTGGATACATGTTGTGTATTAAAAAGAGCACCATTAAATTTATGGAAATACTCAAAACTACTACTTTCTGCCTTTTCAAAATTCATATTTAATATTGTGGATTAAATAACATTAACAATTTGTAACAGACTATATTAACAGTTTGTTAACAGTTTTGTGCATTAACTCAATCTTGTGTATTGCCTCGTCTTCAAAATAATTACTTTCCAACAAAAATGTGAGAGCAGTAAGATGAGAGCGAGGCAATAATTGTTTCTTCATGTCCATATCTATTTATTTATTTATTTTATTTATTTAGCTTCGCCTATAATTACACAATCAAACAACACGTACACACAACCATTTCTGTCCAACCCGAAAACGAGCAAACTTCAGCGCCCCTGTCTATGTTTCAACATGATAGTAAAACAAAAACATACACC